AATACTTACAGCAGAACACGACGCATAAAGGCTGGAATACATCAAGTTCTTCTAATGAAGTAAGGTGACTCTGAAAACTTCAAGCCCTATTGACAAGGTCCACTGTTGTCGCAAATTTATAGTCTTCACCGGCATCATTATCCACTGTATTTGCTAGGTATTTTTTAAAAACTAATCACAAGTCAGAAACACGCGGTTTTCGTAAGGGTTCTCTACCATCGATCATGGACATGCCATCCAGCAGCTGACGGAGAAGTGCATCGAATATAAAGTGCAACTCTGTTTAGCTTTAATAGACTACACGAAGGCGTGCGATTCGACAGAATCGAAGGCAATGCTAAACAATTGCATGGACATGGTATAAGCCGTGTTAACGGCGACTTGATCGAAAAATGGAATAACGGTTGTATGACTGACATCAAGCTGTCCAGAGAACCATGTCGCATCAGTACCCATTGAGAAATGCGCTAAGATACAGTCTCACTATCACTATTCGCCGCAACTTTTTAGTCGTCCTTCAACCGGCTAATCTGAAGCAACGATATCAGTACTGATGGAGTACAGCTAACGCAGGTGCTATTGGTGGACGTCAAAATCGCCTTCGTACATAACACGATAGAGTTCCAGCAGAAGATCTAGCAGTTACAAGAAGAATCTGCCACAACCAGATTGCAGGATAACCTCTTCAAGCCGAACAGAAATGGATTCGAAACATGCACTGCCCCAAGGGTGTGTTTGCCAGTGACGAAGAACTCGAAGGAGTAACCACTTCTGTATATCTTGGCCGTCAGGTGGACCACACGAACTCGCTGGACAGGGAATTCAGCAGGATGAATGCTGCAATGACCATCTTTTACAGTATTATAAAAGTATTACTTGACAGAGAGCTGGCCATACGGACAAAAAAAATGACTGTTGGACTCATCAACTATACCACTCGCCATGATCTTCTACGCCGGACCTGCTCTGCTACCAAAACGGAGGAAAACAAATGAAGATAAATAATGTATACGCAAAACGAAGCGAAAATGTGCAGTG